GTTCCGTCGACCCTGAAAATCTTAATGGACGTCAAAAACGTTAATCAACTAAGGCGTACCTAGGCAACAATAGGAATATGATGTCATGTCTTCGAAGAATAACGCGCCTGCACTAGTAATAGTAATTGATGCCAAAGGATAAAAGACACGCTTGACAGACGGTGATCTTTTGAAGACATATCAATATAAAATCCAGAAAAACACGAGGGGAATGTCCTCATACGGGGATCTAGTGATGACCGAGGACGGTCAGTATTATAGTGAGGGGGAGATGATACGGAGTGTAACAATACACCCGTAAAAATGCGAATTTTAGCGATTTCTCCTATAAAACCTCCTATAGTAGAAATACAGTCACATTGATCATAAGGATCGTTAGACGCAACCCGGTCTAGTCGATTAAAGTTTACATCCGAGAAATGTGCACACCTTAGACAGTAGGAATTGCGGTCGGTTCGTGACCGAATCACCTCAATATACTCAAAGTCTAATAAAAGGCTACACTACCATGAAATAGTACGCTACCGAGTGTTCTAGAGTAAAAACACCCCCGCACAGGGTGTTGGAGTTTACACCAAACCAGGGTCTCACTTTATTATGGATTAAAAGATATTAATTCTAAAGATAAACGCGCGAGCGTAGAAACTCGACGCGTACCTGACGCGAGAAGTCATTCGGTCACGTGCTACGAAGCATGATCCAAGAAGTCATGTGGAGAGACGCATCATGCGCATCATGCGCATCACAAATCATGGCATCATTGACCCAAGAAAACTAAGCTTCGTGAAATATTCCGAAGTCTGCCAAAAGAGAAAAACTATGAACGATTTGCCGTGCGGTCCGAGGCCCGGGCATAGTATCTAATAATAGAGAGAAAATCACTAAGCGGACCGTTCGTCTCGGCTGAACCGATCGTGAAAACCGTTTACGGCGATTCCCGTGTACGCATCAATACTGATGCGTCGCGTTGCCACAATAGAGAAAACACTATGAAAACTTAAAAGAAGTCAGCTCAGTTGTGCCACGCACAATCGAGCCACTTCAAACCTTTACTAAAAATTCAGTATTAATTCGTCCGACCTCTCGGACAACGCACGGACATATAAATATAAATAGAAGACATAGAATAGTATAAAAAGAGGACGCGCGCAGGCTGAAACAGAAGGAATTATCCCCCGCGTTGACCAGCTGTCACACTCCCAGTAGCATCTGAGGTAGTGGATAAGTTTGTAATCAATTTAAGGACTTTTCTTCGCAGACATAAGTAACGTGTGCCCGGAACCAGTGTGTTAAGTGGGGATCACAAAGCTTTTGTAAGGTTGTCTCGTCAATTAGTAAGAGAGCTCTCTACTATTACCGAGGAATCCAAGTGAGCGTGCTTGAGGAGTCTTAAGACTAGTTGACC